CCCTGAGTTTGATGTGTCTTCTTGCGTATGCTCAGTGCTCAGTTTCTGCATCTCAAGAGCTGGCTGCACACCGTGGGCAGGAATAGAGCCTGTTCAAACTCCTGCCAATATTGTGCTGCTTTCCCAGCTGCTGTGTGAGCTGCTGTGTGTCCTCAGCCTGCAGGAGCAGAGTGGGGAGGTCTCCCCAGCACGAGTGGTGGAGGTGAGAGGAGAACCCAGGGCAGTGGCAGACGTGGGTTTGCCACCTCCCTTATACCCAGCTCCTGTGCAAACAGGTGACTGGAGGATTTTGGCACAGCAGAGAAGTCAATTAAATGCTAGAAGCACTTTTCTGATGGCTATTCTGCTACACAGGGCCAGGAGAATATTCCTGTCATGAATGCAGATGGTTCTTACGAAGTGTGTGGTGCTGAGTACAGGTTATTCCATTGCTCTCAAGGGATGGTTTTGTCCACATAACTGTGTCTGGTAGGATAATTGTCAGTAATCACAGCTCTTCTACAAAAACTTGCACAGAAGAAAGCCTGAGGGGGGGGAGTATTGCAAACCAAGAAGCTTGAAAAACAGCTCAGGATGTCTCCCAGAGAAATACTACTCCACGACATCATGTTGCATACACATGAGAGAGACGCTCAAAGATTATCAGGGAAGAAAGATGCCAGCAAAACGAAAGGGCTGCAGTGTGGCAGGTGTCACTCGAGGGAGTCGTCGCTGCCCAGGAGGCTCTGAGTGCTGCTGTGAGTGAGTCCTGTCCCACCACTGAGCCCAGGCCCTGGTAACGTGGCTGTGGCAAATGTGGCTGGAAAGGGAAATGATTGCTTTACTTTTACTCTGTGCTTCCCCTGCCCTAACACTCTGGCAGAGTCTGCAGGGAGCAGTCTACCTGTTCATTTCCCTCAGAGCTGCCAGGAAGGTGCAAAACTGTTATCCTTGGTTTCTTGAGTTGCTTTCCTTCCACAGACCAAATTATGATGTCTGTTTAGATAACAGACATAATCCAGAAGACAGACTATGATCTTTCTTTGTATGGAAGGCAGTGTTAGTTCTAAAAGCCATATATGCCTATGACATGAAAGAAAACTCTTCTCCTGGTCTGAGAAGAGCATCTGCCATCAGAATGCAGCTCACAGTCCATATCAAAGCCAGCACAGCTCTGTGACAGATCACAGCAGTGAGCCTGAGAACAGAAATGATTTTGCCTTGTAGCACTAATGAAAACTGTAGTAGTAAGGCTTTGCTTATGTGTTATCTCAGCTAGAATTGACAACAGTATGCATCTTTTTTCTTCATTATGGCATAGAAATTATGCTTATTCTTGATATTAATGCTTGTAATTCTGATGGAGGCAGCTCTGGGCTCATTGAAACAGTGCCTATCATGAACAACAACAGGACAGCAACAGCCCTGGAGTGAAAAATGGGCATGTTTTTAGTTCAGATTATTCCTTCATAAATCTGAAGGGGATTTGGATCATTACCTGTGCCACTCGGGTTGCCAAAGGAACCTGACCACCCAGCTGATGTTTGCACACTGCCTGGCACTGTCACCATGGAGATCCTGCCCGTGTTCTGCAGGCATGATGCACCCAGAGGCTGGGGGGGAATGCTCCTGCACACAGCTCTGCTCTCAGAGCCTGCACACAGCTCAGGCAGAAGCTAAACTTTTCCTTACTGCTCTAGCTGCACGTAAAGGACCAGGGCAAGGGTAGTTCTCTTGACTTCCATAAGGAAAATACTGAGTTCACCTGATGGAAGGTTCATGCTGAGCCTAGGTGGGAGGAGTGGACAGAAAGTACTGACCTGTTTGGAGGATAATATTCAATTATAGAACATATGTTGGAGTGACTGAAGGCTACTGAACACTGCTGGTATTCCAGCCAGGCCCACTGTGCCCGTCTGGAGAGGAGGGACATTCCCTTCATTTGGGTGCTGATCTCCAGTTTGACAGCACGTGATTAGTGCTAGGACAACTGGGGAGTTTGACATATTGCACTGAGATAATCGAACTGATTTCACTTCTGACTCGGAATAGATTTGTGACTTTGGCATAGGATTCTTTAGCCTTTCATACTGTGGCCTGATTTGCCAAAAAAGGGAGTGCAGGATTGCTTTACTGTAAGCAGAAATCCTTTCATATACTCAGGGAAAGCCACTGTCATCAGAGGGGCCTAAGGAAAGAGGGAGTCCTTTGCCACTCTCCGGTAAACCTGACTGGGCTGAGGGTGAGGGGGTAAAATTGTCTGCAGAACTGAAGCTGTAGTGTGTGGATGGCAGTTTGGGCAGCAGACTGCCCTCAGCCTCAGGGAGGTAGAGAACAGCCACTCTGCTATTGCACCAGTCTTTCAGTTTTCTTTTTTATGAAGTGCATGTGTAAGTTTTGACGTATATATATTTTAAAAAATCACATTACTGAGCTAAACAGCCTCATGTGGGGTGATGAAGGCAGTATGTTCTGACATTTCCACTAGGAACCTTTTCCATGGCATGTTGCTTTTATTGTTTCTACTGAACATCCACATTCCTGACATGGGCCTAAAGCCCCCAGTGTGTTGCACTGGCAGGGCAAGTGGCTCTGTGCTCCAGCTTCCCAGTCCCTTTTATTTTACTCCTGAGACTGGTTTCGTGTAAGAGCCAAGTACAGAAATGGATCCTTATGTTTAAAATTATATCCAAAGGCTTGAAAATAGCATCCGTTTCTCAGGCTGCATTTCTCCTTCACACTGTGAAATGGTGCAGCAGATAATTAGTAAGACATTTTCCATGTAAATTTTCCTGTATTTATAAAGCAGTAAACTGCTCTTGCTGTATTCCAACAGCAAAATGAAGTTCCAGAGCCAACTGAGTGTCAGCAAGTGTTTGTAGTACATCAGTGGAGATTACTGTTGGCTCTTGATTTCAAATGCAGAACAGCCAACAGATTAGCTGGAAGTGAAATGGGCAAATAAGTGGAGGCTTGGCTGTAGCAATGCCACATCAGAGCACAGCTGTTTGTTTCAGGCACAGATTATTTACAGAGGATCAGACTGATAGCCAGGACAGCATCTCTGCTCGGGAGCTGTCCAGAGTAAGCTCGGGGTGTGTGCAGTGCTCAGGCCTGTTCTGCTGGGGAAGCAGGGTTAGCTGGGGGTGCCCTGCAAGGCACTGCACCCTCACTGCAGTCACAGGGCAGCAAATGGTAGGGTCAGTGCTGTGCCAGCCAGGCCAGCAGAGCTGGAGACCTGCGGTGGGTGATTCAGCATGCAAAACCAGAGCAGAAATCTGTCCCAGTTACTGGTTCCACCTGGGGGAAACATTGTGCCAAAAGCAAACGAGAAAAGTCCAAGGACAACATAGGGGGTAAAACTAAGGCAGATGTACAAGGTGCATTTCAGGAGGAGAAAAAAAAGCCTTGTAGTCAGTTTGACATGGGCTGTTTGCACACTCTGACACCAAGAGCTGTGGGAAACCAGTGTGATCAGAAGGTGCCTGCAAATGGCCAAATACAACATGAGCATGTGGTAGCAGGTTATGTCAGTGGCTCTGTTTGGAATACACCTTGGGTTTCATGGCTTCAGAGCTGCAGATGCTGTTGGAGTAAGAAGTGTGTTGTGCCTCTGGTTTTAGTTGCTATATAAAGTTTTTTTTCTGGTCTGAGTGGATACAGGTAGTGACAGGGTTGATTTTGTGGGTTTTTAACATGTGTTTCTCAAAGAGGAATGTATTGCAGATTAGTCAGAGAGCACCTCATTAAATTCTGTTATTTCTGCTATCATCTAACTCCTAAAATTTGACTTCTTCCTTGTGGAGTTAGTGCTTCACTGTTATACTTTGCTATCATTTCCTACTGCTGAAATGCTAGTCAGAAACCAGAGTAATTCTAACTCTCTCTTTTTGTGCAAGCTTGTACTTTATTTTAGACAACAGTTGCTGTCTGCTCACTAGAGACAGGGTGACTACGGTAAAATCGTAGCACGTTCCCAGTGCACAGAGAGAGTAACCGATGGCTGTTATTACAGTGTGTTCACTTCTCTTTTGGTGAAACGAAAACTTGCAAATCATTAGCTAAAGAAGTGTGGAAATCTGTGGGTTTTAGAGGTGTTCTGTCAGGTCAGCCCATGGTGCACTAATGTGTGGGGGCAACTGTGGCTCCGTGCAGAGCTCCGTGAAGCATCCTGTGCCAATTTGGCAACTGTGGCTCCGTGCAGAGCTCCGTTAAGCATCCTGTGCCAATCTAGGGCTCTCAGGGCTGAAATCTGTAGTTCAGCACTAGTTCTGCCACAGACACTCCAAGGGCTGAGCCATACTGGAAGCAAATACAGTTTTTGTCCTTTATTCCAGTGAAAGCTCTATCGATAAACACTCCTTTGCACCACTTCAGGCATCAAAATAAGCTTCTCTCCAGTGCCTGTGTAAGAAGAGGTTTTTGCTCCTGTCTCACCTGTTCCTGGTAGGGTCAGTAGGACACCATTTATTTAAGTTAAAAAAACCCAAAGCAAAAGAAGTGGGAATCAGAAGGAAATAAATGTTTTCTCATGCAGTGAGACCCCTGGGATTGCACTGGTCCCAGCCCATGGCTGGACACGGCCTTCCCTCTATGGGAACCCAAAATAAATTGATTGGAACGTACCACTGGTCAGTTAGAAAAACAGTTCAGACTTTCAGGGTTTCTTGATGAATACTCTGCAAGATAAAATGTAATGAAAAGCCTGTGAGGGTTTCCTCCCTGAGCCTGTGGCTCTCTCACCTCACTGCCCATCACGCTGGTGCTGCAGTGACACTGTGGGTGTATTACACTGTTCAGAATCTGCTGGCAGGACTCACATCCCGTTTTGGCAAGCACAGTGCATAAACTCAAGCCCTGCCAGGTCACAAAGAACTGTTTGACTGTGATTCTTCTCCCAGGCAGCTGTTGGAGTGACCTGCACGTGGCGTGGCCTAAGTGCATTGCTGGGTTTGGGAGGGAGGAATTCAGGCTTTCCCTGGTGTGTGATGAAAGGTGGTAATAGGTTTTCTTTCTTTCAGGTGAAGGAGGCCATGCAGAGAATCCATGACCGGGGCAATATAGGCAAACTCATTCTGGACGTGGAGAAGGCACCCACTCCCCTGGTGAGTGCAAAGCACTGCAGACAGCACAGAGCCACACGTGGCCCTCAGAGTGCTCTGCTAGCACTGATTTCTTCCAAATCCACAGCACCAGTGTCATAACTCTGTATTCAACCCAAAGGGAAATGTAAGCCCTGGAGTCCCAGCAGATACTTTGTGTACTCCATGACTATCTGCCACCCAAAAATGTGCCTGCAGGTCTCAGGTCAGGGTAAAACTGCCACATCCATTTCTGTCCTTGTGATGGAAAACAAAGAGACATTTCACCATTTCTGTCCTTGTGATGGAAAACAAAATAAAAAATACTAAAAAATTCCTGTTTTAATAAGTGGATTGAACAGCAGAAAAAAACCCCAGTCAATATTACTTCAGTATGCAAATATAGAAGTGCTTCTTGATTCCCATACTAAAGTCAGAGTTTACTTGTGGTAGGAATGTATATAAATACTTCCAGAAGTGTCCTGAAAGAATCTAGCTGTGCTGGAGCTCTGGTGCACTGGGTTTGGAGCACTTAGCATGGTGCTGAAACGTCACAGAGAGCAATGGTAAATATATACTAAAAAACTCCTGCATTAATAAGTGGATTGAACAGCAAAAAAATCAGGAGGAAGGAAAGAACAGTAAGGAGGGCAATGAAACATTGAGTGTAAGTCAGTACTGATGGGTGTCACTGCATTTCTCTCAAAAGCAAATGGCTCCCTTGCTTACTTGGTTTTGAAGTAGCTGTAAGCTCAGACAAGACTCCTCTGGTGCCCTCAGAGCTAACGTGGGTGTGTGAGAGAATTCAGTGACACCAACCTGTGCAGTTAAACACTGACCCCGTGCAGTGACCCAGGCCCTCGTGCCTCCAGGGGCATGGCATGCCCAGAAGGTGAAGTCCTGGAAGGTCTTGCACCTTTACACAGCTTGTAAGAAGTATTGCCAAGGAAAAAAAGCCACAAAGTCCTCCTTAAATGTTGAGGCTTAAATGCTGTCCTGAACTACGAGTCCCTGCCATTGCCTACTGCCTCAGTGAAACGTGGCACTGCAGTTTCTTCCCACTCCTGTGTGGTCTGAGATCTGCACTCTGCCCTGGGTGTACTGTGCCAGCACCTCCATACCCACTGCTCTGTGAAGTCTCCTTGGTTTAGCAGTATGCTCCCAGTTGCTCCCAGTTGTCCGTGAGCGGCGTTAGCAGCGCTGCCTGGTTCTGGGAGAGCAGACCCAGGAGCTGTGCTCCACAGGTCTCCCAGCTGTGTTTCCTCCCTCGCTCGGAGTGCCCAGAGCAGAGCCCCGAGTGGGCTCTAAACTCTCTGTATCCCGTGACTCAGACTGAGGTAAGGATGAATGTGACAGTGAGAAAGGTGCTCTGATGTCCCTCACCTCTGATCGTGCAGATGGCCAACGACAGCACGGAGACGAGCGAGGCAGGAGAAGAGGAGGAGGACCACGAAGGGGACAACGAGAACAAGGAGCGCATGCCCTTCATCCAGTAACAGCCAGAGGCAGGGGAGGCAGGAAGAGCCATGAAGGAGAAGGGAACAAGGCTGGGAAATCTCTTCTGTGCATCAGTGAACAAATGCTGTAGTACAGTGTGTGTTGTATTTGTTTGCAGTCAGCTGAGCTATGAGCTGTTGATCATTGTTGTTTTGGACTCAAGTGCCATTTTCATCCAGTGCAGTATTACGACACTTCTGTGTAACACCAGTTTCCCTGTAGGAGTCCCATGGATTTTTCTGTTCCTGTTTGAAAGCCTCATTAACTTACTGTGTAATTTTAGCTGGGCATCTCTCTCGTGCAAATTCCAACACTCTGCATAAAGTTACTTGGGAGGTTTGGGCTTTTTTTGCAAGTTGGAAACAGTAACAAAAACATTCCCCACTTGCTGTCTGGAAGATTCTAGTAACTGGAGAGATAATTTTGTGTTTGTGAATTTTCAGTGTTAAAAATAGTTTCCTTTTATGAACCACAAATAAAAGTTGCAGCAAAGAGGAGTTCTCATTTTCCTCAGTCATGCTTTGTCATGCCATAAGCAATCAGTCTTAGTTTTCAAAGATACCTCACTTAGAATCATGGAACCAGAAGTTGTAAGAGGTCATTGATTGAGAGACTTTGGTAACATCTGCTGAGGACAAATTGACTCACCTGTGTCCAAAATCCAAACCGATTTTAAACCTCATGTCCGAATTGCATTGGTAAGGATCACTCATCTGTATGGGGAAGGAAACTTTGTGACAGAGTTTTCTGCTCTGAAATCACTGATGTGTTGGTCAGCTGTGAGGCTGGAGCTGAACTCCTGCAGAAACTGCTCCTGGAAAAATGAGGTCTAGGCCTTAATCTCACCAGAATGTGCAGCATAACTTTGCATAAGTGAGTCGCTCCCTATGTTTGATATGTTTGTCACTATTTGCAGGGTCAAGTATTATCTACCTCCCACTAGTGAAAACTATATCTAAACATGACAACAAAAAGTATTTTTTCCATGTCTCTCATCTCTCCCAACAGCAGCTACTCAGGTCCTCAACTGTCTTGTTAGGGCAGTTGTTAAATTACTGCAATCACCTGCAGCAGAAATGCTGAGGGACTGTCAGAGACCTCATACAATGCCACATCTCTGAGTCAACATGATTTCTTCTTCAAAAGAAAGTATTTCCCAAGACAACTAGTCCTGACTAGTTGCTCACCTTGATCTACAAGTAGCCTGCAGTGAGACGAGTTAAAAACCAACACAGAAGAGTGGAGAGGGAGAGCTGCTCAGGCTGCTCTATCTGAAAGGACTTTGGGCCTGGATGACTTTTATGTGTGGTTTTAGAAGATTCTCTTTGGTTTTTTCCTGTTTGTTTGATCTTGCTGTCTGAGTATTACTGTCCATCTCTTTGCACTGTACTCCTGAAGTCGCTGCTCCAGTGCCAGATAGTTGTGCAGATGGTTCATTCTGAAGGACTTTCCCTTGGTTTAAACAAATTCAGAAATAACTGTGGAGAAAAATGCCAAAAAAAGCTTTTGAAATACTAATCGAACAAGAACTTCAGTTTTCTCTAGATGTTGATGCAGAACTTCATTGCAGTTGTTTCTTTTCAAGCTAGACCTGCCTACACTCCCAGTGCCATGTCAGCCCGACAGGGACTTTATCCACAGAAGAAAATACACATTCAGTGAGAGTTTTCCATTTATTGGGCTTGCCAATTGGATTTTTCAGAGAGGTCATTAAGTTTTCATGACTCACACGCTGACAGCAGTAGGAACATGCCCAATTTTGTTTTGCAGTTAGTGTAACAATGTTGTCCTGCAACAGACCTTAACATAACTAGGAGTTTTGATTTGACGCCAAAGTGAGCAATATTGCTGGTGACCTTCGAGCTGGCAGTAAGTGGCATTCTCAAGGCCTTAAATTAGTAGGGCAAGCAGAATAGCAAACCTGTCCTTTGTTCTAGCCCACAGCCTGGTGGGCTCCACACCTAAATTACCCTGCGAGACAAGAGGAGATGGGTGATCTTGGCCACGGCCACAGACACCACTGGGGCAACAATCAAATAACCTTGGCTAGTTCTTTCTGGTTTTGTTAGCAAGGCAAAAAATACTCTTCATGCTAATCCATGCCAATTTTGGGGCCATTTTCTGATCAGCAGAATATCAGGTAATTGCAGTGAGTAGATACTTCTGGAACTACCTGACTGTGGCACAGCTGAGCGTGACCATCGGCAAGCTAAACTCTGTTCTACTGCTATTACCGTGGTGTGTCGGGAGGTCACTCCTGCCACGGATGGACATGTCCATGTGTGCTAGCAGAATTTGGCCCAGGAGCCCTAGGCCCCGTTCAGGGGAGCACAAGCAGTAGTATGGGGGTGGAGGTTGTGCTGTACAGACTGACAAAGCTGGGACTTGGTCCTGGCCAGGTCTCACCGCAGCAGAAATGAACATTTGTCCTTACTACTGACAGTGTTGTCTGAACAGCTCTGAGACAATTGGGTAGTCTCTTCAAGTGAAACCAATTATTTCTCAATTTGCCTTAAAGGAACTGTGAAAGCTTCTCTTTATCTTAAGCTTGATTGAAGTGAACTGAAACACTGTTTAATTGTGTTTGTTGCTTTAGAGCTTTTGTTATATTGTGCCTACAAAGCAAATTATGTTTACATAAAACTATAAATAAAATGTTGAGCATAGCATTATCCTTGGCCTCTGTGTTTTACTCTAGTATTGCGGCCACATTAGGCAACTGCCTTGGAACTGATTAAGAGGAAGATTGGAGTTCTTCTTTTCCATTTTGGTCATGGTGGGATATACAAAAGATTAATTTTTTCTATTAAGAAGTACAGTGAGATTATTCAAATGGCTGTGCTACTTTGCAGAACATTAACAATCACAGTCTTAGAAATTCAAAGCAGTGCATAAGTCACTAAGCATTCAGGGAAGTGTATTTTGGTACAAAGAGAAACTAGTTTCCAGAATTTAGGGCTCAGATTGCCACACAAGTCCTCAGAGAGACAACTCCTTTTAGGAATTCAGATACTCCAAGGGAATAATCTGAAAACAGATGTCATGCACCAACACAGGACAGGGATGCAGCAGGTGCCTCTGAGCAGCCTCTGTCTGTATGGAGTACAAAGTTCAACCCAGGATCCTGAGTGTCCCTGGTTTGTCACCTCACCCTTGGAAAAGATTCTCTCCATGACTGCAGCACACATCCCCCTCCAGAGTCCCTGCAATACCCAGTCTGCACATCAGGAAAATGAATTTATTACCTTCTGAAGAATCCTGGGTCATGTCCACTTTCATCCCCCACGGAGAGCGACAGACAAACTCCAAGTGGATTTAGCAGAGATTCCATTCACCCACGGAAACCTTTCATCTCACGGGAACTTCAGGCATTTCAGGCAAACTGAGGGAAAAGAGGGAAGGAACCAGCATTGTCAGCCCTCAAAGTGCTTGCCCTGTCTCTTAGAAACTCCTATACCTGCTCCCATGTAAGATCAGCTTTCATTTGGGAAGGAACAGACTGCACAGTTGGAAAAAGCTTTGAAACTGTCTCAACTAACCTAAAACGTCAAAAGAAGACTCTTTTCATCTTTTGGCTTCTGAACCCTCATTATGCTTCATGCTTGGTGCAGACACCACTAGACAAACTGGGCAGCCAGGGATTAAATGGGATTAAATTAAATTAAGAGCTGCCACTGGCACTCAGTTTAGGACCAGCAGCTGCCAACTATGGACAGGGGCAGAGGGTTTGGGGGTGGAATCTGTGACAGAGAGGGCTGCAGGGATGGGGACCTGCTGCTTTTCCTTCTGGGTTGAGGAGGGCTTTGATCAGCAAACCCTTTAGTGCTGAGCCTGGATGATCCATGTGAACACATTCCCACAGGGAGCTGTGGCTCACAGCAGCACCTGGTGCAGCATCTCTGCTGCCCTGGCTGCACAGAGTGAGACACAGCCGTGCCAGACACTAGTGATGAGAAGGGTTTCTCTGCCTGCCCTGAAATGGCTCAGCCTAGGAGGAGCTAACAGCCAAACCTCTGTGAATCCTGGTGTGAGGAGCCAGCTGAGCGGTGACCAGGGTGTGCCCTCGTCATCCAGCACTCTGGGGCCTGGAGACCCTTGTTAGACCAGGGATGTTTTCCAGAGAGGAGAAAACATTTCTTTTGCTGCTAGCACAGAGAGATGATGACAAGTGAAGTGTCATTCCTAGGGCACTGGAGACATCTGCTGGAAATGGAGCGGACTGCAGTAAGAATGAGCATGGCAGGAGGAGTAAGGAACATTTCTGAGTTTACATTCCCACAGTGCTAAACTGCGCAGCAAATACTGGAACATTGTCCATGTGAAAGTATCGTTTGAAAATGTTTGTACACATAGCCTGTTTACTCCTTCCTGGAATCAAATTTCAGTTTCTAAAACCTGCAAATCAATGCATCTTTGAACTCCTTTTGTCCCTGATGTGTGAGGTCATGCAACAGAGCTAGCATGGTGTTCTGGGACAAGCCCAGGGCAGGTTTCCAGCTTGGACTGGATGTTAGCACCAGCTGCCTCTGTAGCAGGTACAGGGGATCACACAAATCTCTCCCTCTTTACTTAGAACTCTTGTTTACAAACCCTTTGCTTACAAATCTCCATGTGTTGTGGCTCTGTGTCCTCTGGAAATAGCTTCCCAGTGAATACTGTCAGGGTGTGTGGCCCTGCCACTTGCACATCCCCAGCTGCTCCAGCCTCCAGCACAAACTCTCGGCTCAGGTCCCCTGACTGCAGCTGCCCTGTGGGACTGTGGCACAGGGAGGGGATCTCATTTTTCAGGAAAAGACAAGTAGAAGTTGGGATTTGTGTCCCCCTTTTTCATGACCAACAGCCACTTTCAGCTAGTTATGATGCTACAGGGTTAATTTCTGCAGTTCTGAGGGATGCTGTGCCCAGACTCACAATCCCTACTTATGAGATCTCCCAAAAATGCAGCTGGGTGCACACTCTCAGGTTTCCCAAGCCTGAGCCTGGTGCAGGAGTTTATTTTGTCTGTGCACGGGGGCAGTGCTGCTCCTCAGGCACAGTAAAGAAGGGGCAGCTGTTTGCACGTCCCATGACAGAGCTGAACAGCACACACAGGGTTTGGCTTCTTGCCCTGAGCCAGGCTGAGGCACAGAATCATAGTTTCGTTAAGGTTGGACGAGACCTTTAAGGTCAAGTCCAACTGAAGCATCTCCTTGTCAGGGGCAGCCACATGGCTTGGTGGCAGCACCAGGAGTGTCTCAGAGAGCACCTCTGGACAAGGGTGTGGTGCAGGGGTTGGGGACCTCAGAGTACATGTGTACAGCCATACATGAGTGGGGACCTCGAGTTCTGGGTTGGCAGAGCAGAGACCCTCAGCCCTAGAGCATGGTTAGACCTCATGATCTTAAAGTTCCCTTCCAACCTCGATTCTCTGATAGAGCAGACTCTTCCAGCCCTTGCTGAAGTGCAGCCAGGAAAGGCAGGCATGATCACACTCCTGACAAAGGCTGATTTTCCATCCTCTCCAGGAAAATCCTACAAACACCTACACCTCCCCACTCTGCCCAGCCCTCCTGGCACTGTGCACAGCTGCACTGCTGAAAACCTGCTGTGAACCTATGGATGTGCAGCCTGGAGAGTTTGGCAGTGCCCAAACCAAGGCTTTGTCCAAACTAGTTTGTATGGCACATGTAAGGATGAGCAGAACCTAGTAAGATCATGTTAATGTGAAGCTGGAAAGCCTCATATTAGGGAGATGATGTTGATCTAAAATGAAATCGTTAAAGGGAGAAATTAAATGCCCAGGAAGTTTTCAGGTCATTTCCAGGAAAGAAAAAAGGCAGCACACATTACAGGAGAAAAAATAGCACAACAGGTATTCTGTGTTTAGTAAAGAGAAGGAGACACATTCTCA